ACAGCAGAGATTCTTTGCGGAAATTCGGACGGACCCCGAGCGGAGGGCAGGCTAGCAGAGATTGTTTGAGGAAATGGACGGACCCCGAGAGGAGGGCAGGCTAGCAGAGATTGTTTGAGGAAATGGACTGACCCCGAGAGGAGGGCAGGCTAGCAGAGATTGTAGGAGGAAATGGACGGACCCCGAGAGGAGGGCAGGCTAGCAGAGATTGTTTGAGGAGAATGGACGGACCCCGAGAGGAGGGCAGGCTAGCAGAGATTGTTGGAGGAAATGGACGGACCCCGAGAGGAGGGCAGGCTAGCAGAGATTGGAGGAGGAAATGGACGGACCCCGAGAGGAGGGCAGGCTAGCAGAGATTGGAGGAGGAAATGGACGGACCCCGGAGAGGAGGGCAGGCTAGCAGAGATTGTTTGAGGAAATGGACGGACCCCGAGAGGAGGGCAGGCTAGCAGAGATTGTTTGAGGAAATGGACGGACCCCGAGAGGAGGGCAGGCTAGCAGAGATTGTTTGAGGAAATGGACGGACCCCGAGAGGAGGGCAGGCTAGCAGAGATTGGAGGAGGAAATGGACGGACCCCGAGAGGGAGGGCAGGCTAGCAGAGATTGTTTGAGGAAATGGACGGACCCCGAGAGGAGGGCAGGCTAGCAGAGATTGTTGGAGGAAATGGACGGACCCCGAGAGGAGGGCAGGCTAGCAGAGATTGTTTGAGGAAATGGACGGACCCCGAGAGGAGGGCAGGCTAGCAGAGATTGTTTGAGGAAATGGACGGACCCCGAGAGGAGGGCAGGCTAGCAGAGATTGTAGGAGGAAATGGACGGACCCCGAGAGGAGGGCAGGCTAGCAGAGATTGGAGGAGAAATGGACGGACCCCGAGAGGAGGGCAGGCTAGCAGAGATTGGAGGAGGAAATGGACGGACCCGAGAGGAGGGCAGGCTAGCAGAGATTGGAGGAGGAAATGGACGGACCCCGAGAGGGAGGGCAGGCTAGCAGAGATTGGAGGAGGAAATGGACGGACCCCGAGAGGAGGGCAGGCTAGCAGAGATGGAGGAGGAAATGGACGGACCCCGAGAGGAGGGCAGGCTAGCAGAGATTGTTTGAGGAAATGGACGGACCCCGAGAGGAGGGCAGGCTAGCAGAGATTGGTGGAGGAAATGGACGGACCCCGAGAGGAGGGCAGGCTAGCAGAGATTGGAGGAGGAAATGGACGGACCCCGGAGAGGAGGGCAGGCTAGCAGAGATTGTTTGAGGAAATGGACGGACCCCGAGAGGGGGGCAGGCTAGCAGAGATTGTTTGAGGAAATGGACGGACCCCGAGAGGAGGGCAGGCTAGCAGAGATTGGAGGAGGAAATGGACGGACCCCGAGAGGAGGGCAGGCTAGCAGAGATTGGAGGAGGAAATGGACGGACCCCGAGAGGAGGGCAGGCTAGCAGAGATTGGAGGAGGAAATGGACGGACCCCGAGAGGAGGGCAGGCTAGCAGAGATTGTTTGAGGAAATGGACGGACCCCGAGAGGAGGGCAGGCTAGCAGAGATTGTTTGAGGAAATGGACGGACCCCGAGAGGAGGGCAGGCTAGCAGAGATTGGAGGAGGAAATGGACGGACCCCGAGAGGAGGGCAGGGTAGCAGAGATTGGAGGAGGAAATGGACGGACCCCGAGAGGAGGGCAGGCCAGCAGAGTTTCTTGGAGCAAAAAAACAGCGATCCGCCGACTGTGTTGTATCTGCAGTATGCAGGGAGGCAGGGGGCATATGCTGTCACTCCTTTCCTCTCTCTCTCTCTCTCTCTCTCTCTCTCTCTCTCTCTCTCTCTCTTGCCCTCTTTTTTGAGGCGCGGTCTTTTTAGAGGAGGGCCAGTGGCCAGCCGTGTGGGGTGTCCACACATACGCATTGTACGAAAATATATGTGGTGAGGACCCCGAGGGGGGAATGGGGGTCCGATTTCCCCGCTCGAGACCCCCCAAATTTGCATACAAGGTGGCGGTTGGCGGAGAAAATTTGCGATTCGAATCGTGTTTTTTGAAGGGATCAGGACGGCCCGTACTTTTGCATTATCGGGGGGAGGGTTTTGTCGAATTCCAACAATTCTTGACAACGTAATACTACGGATTTTCACAGTTTTTAAAAAAATTAATTATATTTAAGGTCGAGAATCTATCTAAAGGACATCTTAAATGTTAAAATTGCATATTTTACGCTCAAATCGGCAATTTTTTGGAATTTTTAGGTGGTGCTTTGGGTTTTTTAATCTCATTTTTCGAATAGAAATTAGGCTAACCGCCCCCGATAACGCGAAAGCTCCGACCCTTAAAAATATGCAAAAGCATCTGGCACGTTCAAGGCTCGGGGACACGTCTCAGGTCGTTGTTTTCCGGGGCCCAAGGGACCCTTTTTTAACCTCTCCCCAAAAATGGCCGCCGTCCGGTCGCGCCTAAAAATGTGTACAATTTGTCAGCGCACACATCGATTTGTCGCCTCGCTTTTTCGGGCCCTCAAAAGACCCATTTCTCAGCGGGAAACGGGAGAAAAAACCCGGTCGTGTTCTGAACACACGAAAATAGAAACTAAATAAAATGAAAAAATGAGGAAAAATGTCAGTTTTCGCATCTTAAAATATGTTGAAGATTTTTTTGCAACTTTCTAGCGATCAAAAACTACGAAAAACGCGAGAAAACTACGCAATTTATTCTTAACGAATTGCTATCAGCATGTCGAATTTCATAATGTCGAAATGCCATAATGTCGAAATGTCGTAATGTCGAAATTCATAATGCCGAAATTTCATAATGTCGAAATGTCATAATGTCGAAATGTCATAATGTCGAAATGTCATAATGCCGAAATATCATAATGTCGAAATTTCATAAGGCCGAAATTTCATAATGTCGAAATTCAGAATGTCGAAATTTACATAATTTAATATTACCGGTGAAACCGCCAAATCCTAGCCAAAAAAATTTTCCACATTCTATTTTTTTATCTTATTTGACGACAACATTTTTTTTGCCTAGAATTCGGGGACTTTGCCGGGAATTTTAGCGTATGTAAATTTCGACATTATGAGATTTCGACATTGTGAATTTCGACATTATGAATTTCGACATTATGAAATTTCGGCATTATGAATTTCGACATTATGAGTTTCGACATTTTGAAAATAAGCCGGTAATGGGCGGTTAGCAGGGGGAAGAATTTTTCTCAGTAATCCTGTACGGTCCCATAACGAAATCAACCATTTTAGACAGTTTTCTGGATAAAACTAGCTCGTAAAAAAAACTTCCGCAAATCTCGAAAACTTTTGGGGTTCTGTATCTATGTGGAAATGATAAAAAAGTGAGAAAAATGTCACTTTTCCTGTTTAAAACATGTTTGTTTTTACAAAGGAAAAAAAACATTTCAGATTTAGGGAACTTTCTATCGATCAAAAACGATGAAGAACGTTTTAAAATGACACTATTTTTTATTTGCAGTTAGGATGGATATGTAAACGAAAAAAATTAGTTCAGCCTGGTCACCCCCCTCCCGCTAACAGTCCAGTACCTTAAACTTTCGAGGCCATGGAGAAACGAGGGAGAGAGAGAGAGAGAGAGAGAGAGAGAGAGACAGTGAGCAGACTGGCAGAGATTCTTTGCGGAACACCGTATTATACCCCCAAATGGCTAATAGAAACGGAAAAGGGGGGCAAATAATATCAGCCGTCCGTCCGCTGGCGATGCTGGTGCGAGCCGTTCGGGCGTATTGAAATGGAAATTTCTTGCGGGACCGGGAGACGATAAGGAGCCGCACACCAGCAGGAGGCGGATGAGGAGGACGGGCAGCCGGATGGGAATCTCGGTCACAAATGGTGAAAGGGTGCGCGCAGAGCGGCGAGAGAGAGAGAGCGAGAGAGAGAGCAGCGATCAAACGACAGAGAGGAGGATGGTCGCCGCAGGGTGCCCCCCCTCAAAGAACCACCCTAGAGGATTGTCGGTTTTATAAAAAAGTTATACCTTAAGTTTTAAATTAAGGGTAGCTACCATAACCATTATAGAAAAAATTATATACTACAGACCTATAGAATTTAACTAAAAAGGTATATATTACGGAAATCCAAAGTTTAGCTTGAACGCCAATCTAAAAAAGGAAGGCTCTGGTTCCTTAACGGGGGGGGGAACGGTATCGGGGGTAAAGTAACAGCCGTTGAGGACTATCGAAAAACCCCTCCCCCCCCGCTAACGCACAAGAACCCCAGAAATTTTGATAAAAACTAAGCTGATTTTTGCCTGTTGAAGACGGCTTTACCCCCTGAAAACTTTTTACACGTTGAAGGGGCTTATTCTGGTGCTAAAAATAGAATGTAATTGCAGCGCATTAGTATAGCGTATTTTTAAAGTAGGTTTTATGCAATCATAGCTTCAACAAATTTAGGTCTTACCGATCTGCAACGTTCCGGTTGATCCCTTCCGGGTACCGTATCCCGAGTCTTGCTCTCTCTCTCTCTCTCTCTCTCTCTCTCTCTCTGCCTCCAATATTCAAGTGTCGGTGGCCTCATTATCACCTGCACACACACCCCCACTGACCCAGATGATTATGGCTGGCTCCAACACCCCCAAAGTGATATGCAAATTGGAATATCGCAGAACCAAGGGAGCCGCGTAAAGTGTGTCCGCCCATTTCCTCCTCCAATCTCTGCTAGCCTGCCCTCCTCTCGGGATCCGTCCATTTCCTCAAACAATCTCTGCTAGCCTGTCCTCCTCTCGGGATCCGTCCATTTCCTCCTCCAATCTCTGCTAGCCTGCCCTCCTCTCGGGATCCGTCCATTTCCTCAAACAATCTCTGCTAGCCTGCCCTCCTCTCGGGATCCGTCCATTTCCTCCTCCAATCTCTGCTAGCCTGCCCTCCTCTCGGGGTCCGTCCATTTCCTCCTCCAATCTCTGCTAGCCTGCCCAGGTCAAGCGCTAATATCGTGATAGAAAATATAAAAATTTATTGCAAAAAATCCTCTCGATTCAAGTTATTTTTATCGTCCCTGCACGGTCAGCAAATAGGTTCCGATCTGTTGGGGCTTCAGCGTGATGGTGGAATCTAAAAATTAAGGGTTTAATCAAGATTTTTTTTCTCAAAGAAAAGTGATTAAATAGATAGAATTTTCTTTTGAATTCAATTTCGCATAGCTTTTGAAAATGAGCTAAAAAAGTTACCAGTGCCGGGGCCATTCCGATTGGCGCCGAGTGACAGTTCTTGGACGGCGGTTACGGTAAGTCTGGCGAACAGCTTCTAAAAAGATCAGGTTTTGCTGGGTTTTAGAATTTCCTAAGGAATCTCTCTCTCTCTCTCTCTGTCCCCCCCCTCGTCGTCTCATTTCCTAAAGGAACTCTGCCAGCCTGCCCACCTTCAAGTCGATGGTGACCGGACTGGAGAGCGTGGCATCTTCATTTGCTTGGAAAATGTGCTCAAGCCGGAGGAGTACGGTATTCTGGCTCCTCTGCTCGAGTGAGAGCACATTAATGCTAGCCGGCAGCTCCTTGATCAGGCCGGCAAACTGAAAAATTACGGTGGGGGACTAGGGACATTGGCTTGGGCTTGGGCTTGGCTTAGGCTTAGGTTACAGGAATGTAAATTAGCATAAGGCTGTGACCGGTAAAAACGACCCGGCACACTCTAGGCTACTCGTGCTCCTTTTCCATAGCGTAAACGATTAGCCTCGCCCATCCCTTTAAAGGCATAGAATCTTCAACAGTACCGTACCCTGGTGAGGTAGTTCTTGCGGTAAGTGGGATAATCCTGGACATCGGCGAACATTGGCACCGGCTTGTTGAATACGCCGACGGCCAGTGGACGGTGCGTAGAAGCGGCTGTCTGAAAAAGGGGGGCTAGCAGAGATTGTTTGAGGAAATGGACGGACCCCGAGAGGAGGGCAGGCTAGCAGAGATTGTTTGAGGAAATGGACGAACCCCGAGAGGAGGGCAGGCTAGCAGAGATTGGAGGAGGAAATGGACGGACCCCGAGAGGAGGGCAGGCTAGCAGAGATTGTTTGAGGAAATGGACGGACCCCGAGAGGAGGGCGGGCTAGCAGAGATTGGAGGAGGAAATGGACGAACCCCGAGAGGAGGGCAGGCTAGCAGAGATTGTTTGAGGAAATGGACGGACCCCGAGAGGAGGGCAGGCTAGCAGAGATTGGAGGAGGAAATGGACGGACCCCGAGAGGAGGGCAGGCTAGCAGAGATTGTTTGAGGAAATGGACGAACCCGAGAGGAGGGCAGGCTAGCAGAGATTGTTTGAGGAAATGGACGGACCCCGAGAGGAGGGCAGGCTAGCAGGAGATTGGAGGAGGAAATGGACGGACCCCGAGAGGAGGGCAGGCTAGCAGAGATTGTTTGAGGAAATGGACGAACCCCGAGAGGAGGGCAGGCTAGCAGAGATTGTTTGAGGAAATGGACGGACCTCGAGAGGAGGGCAGGCTAGCAGAGATTGGAGGAGGAAATGGACGGACCCCGAGAGGAGGGCAGGCTAGCAGAGATTCTTTGAGTTGTAAAGAAGACCGACCTTGACATCCTGCAGCAATACCGTATGCTTTCCCCTGACAACCAAGCCACGCCCATCCTTGCCGGGTTCATTCAGCGCCTCATCCACGCCGAAGTGGTCGTCGAAGAAGCAGCGACGGTGGAGCTGAAATTAGCGTTAAATTAGGTCCGACGCCTAAGCCTAAGCAAGCCTAAGCTAAAGCTAGCCTAAGCCTAAACCTAAGCCTAAGCTGGGCTTAAGCTAAGTCTAAGCCCTAAGCCATCGTTACCGGCTCACCATCAATTCCAGGGATCCATCGGCGAGACTGGAGGCGGCCTGTGCTCGATCGGGGAGTACGGTGAGCTGCGTCGAGGCGTCCCTGAATATTTTAAATAAAAAAATCTAGAAAAGGATTTGGACCATTTAAAAGGCATCTTATTAGCCATTTCACTTACTTGAGGAAAAGTCGATTGGTGACCGGATAATAATTACCGGCAACGGGTTCCGTGTTGTTGAACGGGAATGTCGGGTACGAGTTGCGGCTGGAAACGATAGAATTTATACGAAAAGAGGGCAGGCTAGCAGAGATTTTTTGAGGGAATGTTATGCTTACATTTAGCCAGGCGAGAGTGATTAAAATAAAGCAGTTAAGATTCAACGCTGTATGGGATTTTGGTGAAGCATGGTTTTTGAAAATCTCCATTTTTGTGTAAAATCTTTTTTTTTAATTTTTTGAAGCGAATTACAATAGCCTTCTGAAATTTTAATAAACTTAAAATAAATTAACGCATTGAAAAAATAGAGGACGGTAGGCTAGCAGAGGTTCTTTGAGGAATTGCTATCAAGAGCCGTTCAGACTCATTACCCAGTCAAATTCAACGCTGGCCGCCGGATTTGGGTGAAACATGGTTTTTGGAAATGCCCATTTTTCTATGTATTAAATTTTTTTTATTTTTCTAAGCTTTTAAATTCTAAATAAACTTAGAATAAATAGGCTCATTAAAAAAATCGAGGACTAGCAGAGATTCTTATGGAAAGTTATGCCGAACCAGTTCTGAAGCGATTAAGCGGTCAGGATTTGGCGCAGCACCGGATTTTCGTGAAGGACGTTTTTTTTTCGAATGCTGGGTATTCAATTTTTTTATTTTAATTTTTCTAGCTGATTTTATAGCTGATTACATTAGCTTTTATAAATTCTAAATAAACTGAGGGCTGGAACAGTCCCTAATAAGCGATTAACCAATCCAAATTTGGTGCAGCATAGGATGGTCCAGAAACATTTTTTTCGAAATTTCCCATTTTTCTTGGTACTCGCACACACACTCTTCCACCCCGAATCCGGTCGATTTCCCATAGCAATCGGAAAATCAATGCGAAGTCGATCGGATCCACCCGGTTTCCCATCGATTTCCGGGTAGATTTGGGGTGGAAGCAGGAGGAATCCGTCCGCCGATCGGAAATTGAGGGGAAACCGAGCGGATCCGATCGACTTCCCATCGGTTCCCGATTGTCCCTTCGGATCCGCCTCCGGTCCTCCCCGTGCTTCCGCCCCATTTCCGCTCATCCGCCCCGTTTCCCATCGATTTCATGCCTTCCACCCGCAATCCAGGTGGAATCCATACGGAATTCGGGTGGAAGCACGGACCGGCTGATTACAGGCTGATTACATTAATTTTTTAAAATCTAAATAGACTCAGAATCAATAGGCTCATTGAAAAAATAGAGGATGGCAGGCTTGCAGAGATTCTTTGAGGAATTGCTATCACGATTGTCCGAGGCATTACCCAGTTAAAATTCGACGCAGTACCGAATTCTGGTGAAGCATGCTTTTCGAAATTTCCCGTTTTTCGGTGTGTTACAACTTTTTTAATCGTTAAAATAATTACGATAGTTTGTATAAATTCTAAATCAATTATAGAATAGGCTCATCGAAAATCGACTTAAAAACCCGTAATTTAACTCATTTGGCGACAAATTAAATTTGCCTCAAAAAGACGATAAAATAGTGCATGAAAATGACGATAAAAGGGCTATAATAATTTTCTTACGTTCTCTTGAGAACCTGGCGACCGTTGGAGTCCGTGTAGAAAATGCCGGCCGACGCAATATTTGTCGAGTAGCGTGAGATCACCTCTTTTCCGGTTGGGATTCTGGAAGAAAAAAATAGTCCATTATTAAGCTTAAAAGATCTATATTAGAAATATACTCGGGGTCTACTTATCGCTGAGTTTCATAAGAAACTCGCTTAATTTTTTTGTTTGGTTCACACGTACCCGTGATTCTCGAGATAATTTACGATTTTACTGAACGAGGTATTGGAAACATATTTTTCAACCTCCCGATGATGCGTAATTCCGTTAAAGGGATACCCAATGTTTCGCCGGCAAATATACAGTTATGTATTCCGGGCATTACAATGACGCGCGAATTTTGTGCGGCAATGGGCCCCAAAGCCGCACAGAATTCGGACCCCTTTCCCCTCTTGTGACGTTCCCATCCCACCCAACGGCTTGCCACTATGGCCTAATGGATAGCATCCAGGTCTTCAAAACGAGGTCCCGGGTTCGACCTCCGCCGGCGGCATGGTTTTTGCTTTTGAGCCCCGAGGTTGGGCATCCCTTTAAAGGGATCCCGACGGCATAGTCAATCGGTTACGCGCTGGAAAGAAAATGTCTCTGCGCCTCTCCGCTGGGCGCGCTCTCTGCCCTGTTGGCTACTTGCCAATTTGTTGATGGGGGATCGACAGATGCCGTCAGCAGCCCTTTAAATGCCATTTTTCTTGGCTGTGACTCTACCCCCGCAGCCGGAATGTTTTGGCTATAACTTTTTATGTTACATTGTGTGGGCTCAAATTAAAACTCTTAGTATATTTTTCTACGCTCTATCGAATGGTCTTGCAAAAATCCCGACAAATGAAGCGAAAATACCGAACACTTTGAGACCCTTCGGCTGTGGGGTGGGGGGGGGGGGTTAAGTAAAGTCTACCTTTTTCTTTTCCTTTTCCATAGACTCGGAAAGAAAATTTTAAAATAGGTATCTGAATTGCAGATTGGTTTAAATATGGCGATTACTACTGGTAAAAACAACAGCCTTTTTAAAGCGTGTTTTATTATGCAAATATTATTCAATCTCCATTTTTTTATATGAAACGTGTAATTAAACGCAATGTCAGCAAAAAATGCTAGTTTTTAATCCTAAAATTTCTTTGCTGAAATTCATTTAATTTTAGAGCGAACCTAGCGATTGATAGTCTCGGAACGTTGCGCACGAAATTGCAGATGAAATTTTCGATTTCACCGTGGTATAAATTGAAACATCTTTTGAAGTGTCGGATGTTTAGTTTTCTTTAAAATCTCATTAACACTTTTACAAGGGCAAAAAGAGCAAATTTTAAATGTTTAAATTTTAGAATAGGTATTTAGATTCCAGATTTTTTTAAAAATACGCATACTACAGGCAAAAATCAACCCTTTTTGTACGTGCAACCTTTGCTGGGCATTAGCGGCCAAATTTCCGAGCTCACCAGGTAATAAACTGAAACATTCTTTGGTTTTTTTGCATTATTGGGGGGCGGGCAAATGTTTTTTTGAAAAATTCTTTGTAAAATTTTTTTTGTAAAATTCTAGAAAATCCAGTAAGGTCATCGTATTCTTAATAAAAACTGGCTGTATTTCAAGGAACCCCGGTCAAAAATCAGGCAAATTATTGTAATAAATATAATTCCCTTTATTTATGCCCCCGCCCGCTAATGCGGCGGCTTGGAAAGCGCCGATTTGTGCCTCCCCGCTAATGTAAAAACTCCTGCTTGAAAAACGGCGCTCTTTCTTGAAAAAGAATACATATGGGCCTGGAAATTAGAGGCAAATCAGATTTTGATGTCGAAATCTAATTAAAACTATTAGTTGAACGAAAAATGACTAAAATAGAATCAGGTTTTTTAAAGAATGATTCGGATTAACTGAAACATCCTGATTTCAAGCGGAAACATGGAAAATGTGAAATTTCAAAAATGATGGTTTTCACAAATTTTATACTTTAATCTAGTTCAAATTGTCGCTCCATATCCTTCCTAATTTATCATTTTGTAAAATTAGTTGAATTGAATTGACTGACAGGAATTAAAATTCGGAACTCATAAAATTCCAGCCGTTCAGAAACATCAAATTTTCAAAAATTATTTTTTCTGAAATTGGTTTTTTTTACCCTGAATTCTTGGTAAAATATACATGAAACTTAAATGTTGTATAAAAACGCCTTTCTTACAGTTTTTCATACGGTATCGGGCCGACGACCCAGTCGAATTCGATGAACGTTTGATTTTCGTGGAGGCGGATCGTTTGGGAGACCCAATCCGTCACTTTTTGCCGGGCTTCGAATACGGTTGGGCCCTAAATAAATGGAATAAAAATTTATATCACAAATCTAAGTAAAAATTCAATTTTAAAAGGCGCTAAAACGCTATTTAAACGGATCTAAGTTTTAAAGGAAAAAGTTGAAAAAAATTTGACCCTAATAAGTTCCAGCTGAATCGATTCGGAGATGATCTCTGGCATTTGTTTGGACGGGCGGAAAATGTAGGCACCAGATGGCTGACTTCCGAGGCCTGCGCTCTGAAATTGGAGCAGGCTAGCAGAGATTGTTTGAGAAATGGACGGACCCCGAGAGGAGGGCAGGCTAGCAGAGATTGTTTGAGGAAATGGACGGACCCCGAGAGGAGGGCAGGCTAGCAGAGATTGTTTGAGGAAATGGACGGACCCCGAGAGGAGGGCAGGCTAGCAGAGATTGTTTGAGGGGAAATGGACGGACCCCGAGAGGAGGGCAGGCTGGCAGAGATTGTTTGAGGAAATGGACGGACCCCGAGAGGAGGGCAGGCTAGCAGAGATTGTTTGAGGAAATGGACGGACCCCGAGAGGGAGGGCAGGCTAGCAGAGATTGTTTGAGGAAATGGACGGACCCCGAGAGGAGGGCAGGCTAGCAGGGTTGTTTGAGGAAATGGACGGACCCCGAGAGGAGGGCAGGCTAGCAGAGATTGTTTGAGGAAATGGACGGACCCCGAGAGGAGGGCAGGCTAGCAGAGTGGAGGAGGAAATGGACGGACCCCGAGAGGAGGGCAGGCTAGCAGAGATTGGAGGAGGAAATGGACGGACCCCGAGAGGAGGGCAGGCTAGCAGGGATTGTTTGAGGAAATGGACGGACCCCGAGAGGAGGGCAGGCTAGCAGAGATTGTTTGAGGAAATGGACGGACCCCGAGAGGAGGGCAGGCTAGCAGAGATTGGAGGAGGAAATGGACGGACCCCGAGAGGAGGGCAGGCTAGCAGAGATTGTTTGAGGAAATGGACGGACCCCGAGAGGAGGGCAGGCTAGCAGAGATTGGAGGAGGAAATGGACGGACCCCGAGAGGAGGGGAGGCTAGCAGAGATCGTTTGAGGAAATGGACGGACCCCGAGAGGAGGGCAGGCTAGCAGAGATTCTTAGGGAAAGAGCAGACCTCATAAAAGTAAAATTGCTGCTTGAGAAGCTGTCGATTGCCGGTGGTCTTGTCGACGACGGCCTCCAATGAGCCATCTACATTGAATTCCAGTCGGATTAACTATAAAAAAGGTGTATTAATGGGTAAAGTCACTACCCCGAAAAGTCACTACCCCGAAATAATTTGCATGATTTTCATAGGAAATCCGCATGAAAACTGGATTTTTCCGGGAAAAACAATGCTATCATTTTTCGGGGTAAACGATTTCGGGGTAGTGACTTTTCGGGGTGGTGACCGAACGCCGTGTATTAACACATATTCTGGACTCTGAAAAACTTAATAATCTATTTTTTTGGTAAATTAAGCTGAACGTACGCTATTTTCCAAGGTCGACGTCGCGTCGCGAAGCGGCGTTTCTGGCTTCTGGACGGTGAGCGCGCTAAATGGACAAATTTAGAAAATTGTACAAATTTCCTCAAACAATCTCTGCTCGCTCACCCCTTTTTTGCCATCGTGTCCACATAAATCGATCGGAATCCGAGCGGATCTACTTGTAGCGGTACGTAGAGTGTATACGGTGCCCCATCAGCCGCATTTGCCTGGCTAGACGCCGCGACTACCAGCTGAAATTTTTTACTTTATTTTGTTTTTAATTCAAGGCCATTAAAATTTTATTAAAACTTCTATAATTCTTAGAATTATTGGTTTAAATAGGTATTGTACAAAAAAAACCGAAAATAATTGGTAAAATGACGAAGTTCGAACATTACCTGCGCGCCCGTAATGGGTTGCCCTGCGTAGTCGTATACGGTGGCCTGGGTTGCATAGGAGGGGATCTCGACTACCGTATTCGAGGCCTGGCCCAGCGGGTTGAATACGGTAGCCACGTACGAGGCCTTGTTGCTGAAACCGTGGTTTTTAGGTTCTCGTTCTCGATCTCTCTCTCTCTCTTTCTCTGTCGTCTCTCGCTCCCGGAAAGCGCCTCGTGTCGTCGTCTAGACCTAGTCGACAGAGGGTCGGTCAGTTACTTCAAGTCCCTTTAAACCCACAAAATGGCTGCGCAAGTCGTCTCGTTGGCCTCAAGGCACAGCTGGTGCTTCGGGGCTGTGGTTTGTTGCGTGGCGGACTGGATGGCGTGGGTGGCAAGTGTCTGGAAAATGAAGCTGACAGAGAGAGAGAGAGAGAGGCGAGAGCGAGAGAGAGAGAGAGAGAGAGAGAGAGAGAGAGAGAGAGAGAGAGAGGGTAGAGATAGATGGGGCGGGTAGAGTGGGCAGAACAGAAGAGAGAGGGCGAGGCGAGAGAGAGGGAGAGAGATGAGAGAGAGTGAGCAAGAGAGAGAGTCAGCAAGAGTGTGAGAGACGGCCAGAGAGTGAGTGAGCGTGAGAGAGGGAGAGTGAGAGAAAGAAAAAGCGAGTGACAGCGAGAGAGTGAGTGCGAGAGAGCAAACCCGAAAGCAGGCTAGCAGAGACTCCTTGCGGAATCCAAACCCTACCTCCAACTGGATCATTCCCTTGTGAAGTCGTTGCTGATAATCATAAGTGACGACTTGTTTGGCTGTTCCCCTAAAGCTAAATTTTTAGGAGAGAGACAGAGAGAGTGAGGGCGAGAGGAGCGAGAGGGATAGTGATGAAAGCGAGAGAAAGCGATGTCAAAACCTACGTAACAGCATCGTGATGCTGAACCAGTCCGCTGGCCCGTTTGGCCGTCTCCAGCGCCGCGTCATCACCAAGCAGGAAGTGAGCCGATAGCTGCTTACCGAGCTGTGAAATGGGGTGAAAACCGGTAGTATTGGTGTACGTTAAATTCTGCCAAATTTCGCCCTAAATCTTACATTCAATGAGTGAGGAGGCCTGGCGGATCATTCCCTTAAAACCGGTCTCGACGTGAAGTACCAGTCCAGTAACTGTTCTGAGCCGAGGCGTAGCTGAAAAAGACATAGCAGAGATTGTTTGAGGAATAAATTACGGGAAGAAGTCGTCGCTTTTGGTGGTGAGCACGGGCTGCGCTTTCTGGACGGCTTTTGTGTAGCATGCCGGCGTAGAGTAGAGCAGGTTCAGTCCCATCGACGGCTAAATGTAAGGGTGGGCAAAAGAGAGAGAGAGAGAGAGAGAGAGAGAGAGAGAGGAGGAGGGAGAGGGAGAGGGAGAGAGAGGGAGAGGGAACTAGAGAGAGAGAGAGAGAGAGAGAGAGAGAGAGAGAGAGAGAGAGAGAGAGAGAGAGAAATAGATATAGACAGAGGGAGAGAGAGAGGGAGAGAAAGAGATATATAAAAAAAGAGAAATAGAGAGAGAGCGAGAGAGAGAGAGAGAGAGAGAGAGAGAGAACGGAGATAGAGACAGTAAGAAAGCTGAGTGCGAGAGATAGCGGGCGAGAGAGAGAGAGAGAGAGAGAGACAGAGAGAGAGAGCTACTCACATTAGCATTAAAATACTTGATCAATTTGTCGAGATTCCTGTACCACTTCTCGGCCATCTGATAGTTAAAGTCCATTCCCATGGTGAGGATGACGTTCTTCGTCTTGTAGTGACTGGCCTGAGGTATTAATAAAAGGATGTATCAATTAACATACAGTCCGCGTCATAATGATAGGTTCACCCCATTTTAGGACAGCTTGTTAATCTAGAATAAGTTTCGGATAAAACGGGCGTTGTAATCAGTTAGGGCATAGCTCAAAACCTTTAAGGCCATTATCCATTTGGTTAGAAAAGGCTTCTAGATTTTTAAGGAATTTTATCTCAAAAAAGGCTTACTGGAACCCGCGTCATAAAGATAGGTTCACCCCGAATTTTTCTGCAAAAATCCTACATTCGGATCTTACTTATATTTTCAATTAAGTAGCATTGAAGTGTACATGAATTTCCTATACTTGGTTTGACTCGAAAGGTTTTAGGGAATTTTTTGCAAAAGTCCATTTTAACAAAGAAATCACATTTTTTTAGGATTATCCGGCGATACTCGTTTTAAATTTTTAGTATATAGGCGGTCTCGGAAAGTGCACTTAATGACGAGCATTTTGGTATATAAACGGCTATAGGAACTAAGGTGTTCACGAAGATACAGGTCTAGAAACATGGAACCTACTTGGGCCCATACTAAATGGCCGCCAATCCTCACTTGCGCAGTCCACCCAACTTTCTTCGTGTGTGTCACCCCACTATCGCCGAAGCCAAAGACGTTGTTATATACCAAAATGCTTGTCTTGAGCTGCTCTTTCAAGTCCATAGAAGGAACTTGCGCTTCCGGTTAAATCCAGCCCGTATTGCCACAAAAATAGTAATTTCTTTGTTAAAATGGACTTTTGCAAAAAATTCCCTAAAACCTTTCGAGTCAAACCAAGTATAGGAAATTCATGTACACTTCAATGCTACTTAATTGAAAATATAAGTAAAATCCGAATGTAGGATTTTTGCAGAAAAATTCGGGGTGAACCTATCTTTATGACGCGGGTTCCAGTAAGCCTTTTTTGAGATAAAATTCCTTAAAAATCTAGAAGCCTTTTCTAACCAAATGGATAATGGCCTTAAAGGTTTTGAGCTATGCCCTAACTGATTACAACGCCCGTTTTATCCGAAACTTATTCTAGATTAACAAGCTGTCCTAAAATGGGGTGAACCTATCATTATGACGCGGACTGTATTAGAAGTGTTAATCATTCTCCCAACTGTAGATTTATTCAGTAGTAATTGCCAAATTTCTATTAGCTCTAGAATTGAAAAAATGTACCTGTTCAGTGACGTAGCTGAGAAATTGCTGGGCGCGGCGGACGACGTTGTAGCCTGGTTGGTTCGGGTCGTCCTAGATTTAACCAATTTTAAACTCTAGAAAACGTGTAAAAATAATGGTACTGGACTTTTAACAGGGGGGGGGGGGTAAATATTGCGTTTCGTCGAAAATGTTCAGAAACGGCCAAAAGTTGAAAAATTTCGAATTTCCCAGCGATCAAAACAAACAAAAAACAGCAGAAAAATAGCTAAAATATTACTAACAGGTGGCGAGGCGAAAACTAAAAAAAAATCGCGCCCCAACCCTGATAAAAATTCACAGCCAGTTGCCTTGCCAATCCCTATAAAGTCAACTTTTACCTGAATCTCCTCGTCATTACAGCCGCTGTCAAAGCAGAAGCCACTCGGCGGCGAGTAATCCCAATAAAGCGCCCCCGTCAGCAGCGAGGTCTCTAAAAAAATGGGGTGGATTATGGATAAAAATCAATTAAAAATCGTAAAACTATTTAACAAACTCTTAAACACGTCTAATAAACGAATTTTCGTCGAAAAAAACCGCTTTTTTTTGGATTTTTAATACAACTTTGTAAATTTTGCGCGTCTAGGAGTAATAATAAATAGCATATAAGCACCTGCTCGATTTATATTAGCTAATTTCCGAACTGCCGAGTAGCGCGCCAACAATGAGATTTTTTTAAGAGTTGACGAAACACTTTTTTTAGTCCGAATTCTTTTTATTTTTTATTTCTGTTTCGTATTTCGTATTTCTATGCCATATCTAAAGCAAAAAAAACTAGCCGACCGCTGTTAAAAATTGGCTAAAAAATTAAAAATTATACGGCAAAATCAGCCGTTTCTCGCCAAAAAAAATCGTTTTTTCGACGTTTTCGAAACAGTCGGACAGTTTTTAGCAAAAACTTTTACTGTAAAGAATCGTAAAACCGTTGATAGATACTTTCATATTAGCATCAATGGCGGTTTTTGCCTTTACTTTACTTTTACATTCAAAATGGGCGCAAACAGACTTTTGAAACAAATAGGCTGAGTAACACCTGACTCGAATTGCGCGGCAGGAAAAAAAAGATATTTTTTAAGATGGGACGAAACACCTTTTTTTATTCCCCAATTTTTCGTTCTTTGCCTTATTACTTAATTCTTTTTCAGAATTTATGTTTTCTTTCTTCTTCATACTATTCTCTATGTTCTCTAGCCTACTCTGCTCATCGGACCCAATCCAGTTGAACTCGTTGTTTTTCGTGGAATGGCGGAGGGGAGCGGTCGACGAGTGGATACGCCCGAAATACAGCGACTCGTAGCCCATCTGAATTTCTTCAGGTTTTCCACCTAATTAGCAATTAATGTCTCAATTTCTTTCAAAATGTCGAAATGTCACAATCTGGAAAATCAGATAGCCGAAATCGTTCAAAATCGGCTCGCTGCATGCAGCTTCAACATTAGCTTGCATCAGCTAATTTCCCCCGAAAACCCCCGGATCCTATACGAAAAAATTTCGAAGTTCTGAATTTCGACATCATAAAATGTCGACATTATGTTTGAAAATCAAAATCTGCCTTAAAATGGGACGTCTAGATCTTTTTATTAGGTACCTGTGCAGCCAAATTAGCGAATTCACGGCTGTGACCAAACGGGTCGATCTGCCACGCGGCTTTCGGCTGGCTGCAGTTCGGTCCGAATAACACCTTTAGATGCTCGAGTCTGAAAAAGGCGATCCTCGAACAATCCCTGCTAGCCTGCCCTCCACTCGGGGTCCGTCCATTTCCTCCTCCAATCTCTGCTAGCCTGCCCTCCACTCAAGGTTCCGTCCATTTCCTCCTCCAATCTCTGCTAGCCTGCCCTCCACTCGGGGTCCGTCCATTTCCTCCTCCAATCTCTGCTAGCCTGCCCTCCACTCAGGGTCCGTCCATTTCCTCAAACAATCTCTGCTAGCCTGCCCTCCACTCGAGGTCCGTCCATTTCCTCCTCCAATCTCTGCTAGCCTGCCCTCCACTCGGGGTCCGTCCATTTCCTCCTCCAATCTCTGCTAGCCTGCCCTCCTCTCGGGGTCCGTCCATTTCCTCCTCCAATCCTCTGCTAGCCTGCCCTCCACTCGGGGTCCGTCCATTTCCTCCTCCAATCTCTGCTAGCCTGCCCTCCTCTCGGGGTCCGTCCATTTCCTCAAACAATCTCTGCTAGCCTGCCCTCCTCTCGAGGTCCGTCCATTTCCCTCCTCCAATCTCTGCTAGCCTGCCCTCCACTCGGGGTCCGTCCATTTCCTCAAACAATCTCTGCTAGCCTGCCCTCCTCTCGGGGTCCGTCCATTTCCTCCTCCAATCTCTGCTAGCCTGCCCTCCTCTCGGGGTCCGTCCATTTCCTCAAACAATCCTCCTGCTAGCCTGCCCTCCTCTCGGGGTCCGTCCATTTCCTCCTCCAATCTCTGCTAGCCTGCCCTCCACTCGGGGTCCGTCCATTTCCTCAAACAATCTCTGCTAGCCTGCCCTCCTCTCGGGGTCCGTCCATTTCCTCCCCCAATCTCTGCTAGCCTGCCCTCCTCTCGGGGTCCGTCCATTTCCTCAAACAATCTCTGCTAGCCTGCCCTCCTCTCGGGGTCCGTCCATTTCCTCCTCCAATCTCTGCTAGCCTGCCCTCCACTCGGGGTCCGTCCATTTCCTCAAACAATCTCTGCTAGCCTGCCCTCCTTTCGGGGTCCGTCCATTTCCTCAAACAATCTCTGCCAGCCTGCCCCCCACTCACCCTAACGTCATCTGATCGATAATATCCACATAGTGTGCGGCGGCTTCATCATTTTGCACCCATCCGCCGCCGATCAGCTCGATTTGGCCTGTGAGCAATTCATTATAATTCTTCTTTAAGCCAAAGGAGTTACCCATTCTGAACAAGTTTTTGCAGGCGGGATACGGTAGTCTGGTTGTGCTCAACCCACCGCATCAGAAACCCCGTCTCGGCGAAGGAGAACCTACAAAACGAGTTTTGTCCGGGTGAAGCACCCACTTTCTGCTCTTGTCCTTTTCCACCTCGGTGATTACGGTGTCGTAGATCTTTTGCACCTCTAAACATTGGCTTTAGAGGCGGGCAGGCTAGCAGAGATTATTGAGGAGAAAAGTTCCGTCATACCGTACCCCGGTCATAATATTGATCGACCGTCATCAACCAGCCCAGATCATCGTGGGTGTGCGTGACGAGGTGGACATTTAGGAAGGGATTGGTCGGTGGCCAATGGATTGCACGCCTAAATTTTTTCAGTTGCTAGGGAGCTAGCAGAGATTCTTTGAGGAGATTAGGACATTTACTTTCCTTAGCCCAAATGTCTTTTCGGTTCTTTGCCTATTTTTTTGGGATTTTTAACGTTATTCGATAGAAGATCGAAAAATATAGTCTGAACTATGATTACCGCTAAAAATCGTTAAATAAAAAAGGTAGAGAAAACACTTGAACATTTTTTCAAAAAGCGAGTTTTCGACATTTTTGCCATTTTTGCACAATTAAAAAGGCCTCATTCGATAGAGCGTCCAAAAATATACTAGAAAATTTAATTGAGCTCAAAATAATGTAAAATAAGACAGTTATGCCAGAAACAAGCGATTCGGCTAGCACTTTTCCGGGCAAGCTAGCAGAGATTGTTTGAGGAAATGGACGGACCCCGAGAGGAGGGCAGGCTAGCAGAGATTGGAGGAGGAAATGGACGGACCCGAGAGGAGGGCAGGCTAGCAGGGATTGGAGGAGGAAATGGACGGACCCCGAGAGGAGGGCAGGCTAGCAGAGATTGTTTGAGGAAATGGACGGACCCCGAGAGGAGGGCAGGCTAGCAGAGATTGTTTGAGGAAATGGACGGACCCCGAGAGGAGGGCAGGCTAGCAGAGATTGGAGGAGGAAATGGACGGACCCCGAGAGGAGGGCAGGCTAGCAGAGATTGTTTGAGGAAATGGACGGACCCCGAGAGGAGGGCAGGCTAGGAGATTGGAGGAGGAAATGGACGGACCCCGAGAGGAGGGCAGGCTAGCAGAGATTGGAGGGAGGAATGGACGGACCCCGAGAGGAGGGCAGGCTAGCAGAGATTGGAGGAGGAAATGGACGGACCCCGAGAGGAGGGCAGGCTAGCAGAGATTGTTTGAGGAAATGGACGGACCCCGAGAGGAGGGCAGGCTAGCAGAGATGGGAGGAGGAAATGGACGGACCCCGAGAGGAGGGCAGGCTAGCAGAGATTGTTTGAGGAAATGGACGGACCCGAGAGGAGGGCAGGCTAGCAGAGATTGGAGGAGGAAATGGTAAAAACCTTATAAAACCCACATCCCAGCTGCAAACGTCGGCGGCCGCAGTTGCTAACGCGCAAAACAGTAAATACAATCCCCTCATGTTCCGTATCGTAACGGAATGTGGCGCCGCCATACTAGCGATCAACCCGGTGTTCCGGAATTCCGACCTTCGACTTTCCGTTATCTCCTCGTGGCACGAAACGGCTTATCGAACAGTTCGGGGCAACAGCCCTTCGATGGCCAAATGACCATCCCCCCGGCTACTGCTCATACCAAAGTCCGAAACAAACTTCACTCCGATGGCTACGAAAAAGCTTTAGGTTATGCCAAAAACGGGGACGCTCGTTATTTCGGTGTAATAAAAATAGTTTCACATAAAAAAATATCGTCAAATAATAATAAAAACTATAAAAAAGCGCTTAGTATATTTTTGGCCCTCGATCCAATAGCGTTTTCAAAATCTAGAAAATACTGAAAATTGAGTTCTCCCTCCTACCGCGTCGTACGGCACCAACAATCGATTTACGCCCGTCGCGTGCCTTTTTACGCCTTTTTTCAGGTATCGAATGGTCACAAAAAATTATTAAAACTTTCTATAAATTGTGATTTTAGCCAAAAATGGATAGAAACTCGGCCAATTCGAAGTTTTAGAAAAAAATAGCAGGCTTTTTCGTGCTCAAAAGCGATAAAATTCTCATGAAAGCCGAGCAATTTTTGCTAGGTAGGTATAGCCTTCGTAACCGCCTCCCCCCGCTAAAAGACGAGCACCACGTGAAGCTCAAAGGGACGCGCTAGCAAAGCGACTGAGGATCAATGGTTCAAAAAGTTAATTTCTAAAAACGGTTTTAATTTAAAAATTTTAAAATAGTGCGAAATCCACGCGTAAAAGCACTTTATTCTCAACAACCTGCAATGAATCGAGCAAAATAAATGTCATGTTAGAGAGCCCAGCCAAAAAACAAAGACCAGAATCACAAAATGAACCCGTACATGCGAAATTAGCAAACAAAAATATACATCAAAATAGGCAAATTGTCGGCACGTTCGATCTGTGGCTTCTCCCTCAAGCGTCGGCGACCTGCGTCTTCAGCTCTCGCCCTCGTCCCCCGGGCACGTCGGGCTTCGCGCGTTTCCGGTCGTAGTAGCTGTGCTTCTTGTATTCTTTTGCAAACCTAGAAGAGGAAACATTATTTGGAATTAGCGCAGGACCATCTTTTTGCCTATAAATCCAGAAATGCCTAGTAACGTGATAGTAAGTGTTTTAATACTGTTGTTACCAAAGTTTAACTATAATTTAGGTAGAAAAACCATCTCAAAAATTGCCATAATATTTTTACATGCCATTTTGGTCGAAAATTGTCTTTTTTTTACGTCTAGGCATAGAAAAAAAATAGTTTAGAAACACTTCCTCTATTCATCTTAGAAAAGTTGGATCTTTAGAAAAAAGTTGCCCCCCCCGATAACGGGAAAGAACCCAGCCCTAAGCCAGATTTGGGATCAGGGGGAACAATTATACCTATTTCAACCGCTGCAGTGTTTCTAAACTTTTTTTATTCCTATGTGTAAAAACTTTACAAAGGGAGATTAAAGCGAAAAGCATAGATTTTCAACCAATTTTTCATTTAAAAAAAATAGGTTTTTAAAGTTCTCTAATCGTTTTTCTATTTGAAATATAGCTAAATATTACTGAAAAGCAATTAAGATAGTTAGTATTCCGCTAACAGGCATACCCGGACTGATAGCAAAAAAATTCGGGCCCTTCGAATCGCCAAGAACCGCGGAAAATTAAATCGTAAAATCTAGAACTGACCGAAACTGCCAATCGGCCACTTTCTCGGCGTGTTGTTGCCATTGGGCGGCATTCGTGTCGTGGATCTTCAGGAACGCGTCGAAGACCATCTAAACCGGAAAATTAGGGTCAAGAAAAAATGAGCAACCTGCGGGCTGATAGTCTTCACCGCCACCGGGCCCCACTCGTACAAGATGTCGTCGCCCGGCGCCGGTCCGCTTTGTTTTGCGCTGACGGCTAGGAGGCCTGGAAAGGAATGGGTATGATGGGTAAACACAATCGCTATCATTAAGACATCATCGTATCGAAATAAAGGAAAAACGCCTTTCGATCCAACTGACCCTCGTTTATCATGGTGTTGATCAGCATCTTGATGTCGCCGAGCACCTCGTCGGGCTCCGTGTTCGAGTAGCCGAGCGTCTCCTAAGAAGAAACATTGTAACTTATAAAACTTTCTAGTTTATTCTCGCTTTCCTTTCCGTTTTTTCGTTAGTCGTTTAGCGCGCATTTTAAAAGGTCTTCAAACCAAAAAAATTTCGGAGCCTGAGAAGATTGTTTCGAAGCTTGAGAACGAAAATTGAGGATCAACACGCATGAAGAGAGAACAAGACGATGAAACTCAGCGAAATGAGAAAAGTGTGATGAACCGATGAGATACAGGACCTCGAAAACTCACAAAGAATTTCCACATCCGCTCCGACGGCACTTTCCCGAATTCCTTGGCGAGCGATGGCGGCCGTTCCATCATCAGAAACACGAGCACGATGAAGCGAAAGCCCTTTTGCGCATCGGCCTGAATCCCAGGTATAGAACAGAATTTGAAAATTACCATTTCCGCGAGATCCACGACGTTCGGCAGACCGGGGAGGATGTTCGTGAGGTAGAGCGTGCCGTCTTTTTGCACGATCTGAACGAGCATTTCCATGATCACGAAAACTACAAAATACCGTGTATCCACATGATCGGCGCAGCTTTTCGTTCGTCTTTTTCAGCAGGCACTCCCACGTCACCGAGTCGACCTTGACGAACGAGCGCAGAAGGTTCTCCGGAAAAATGGCCGGTGATTTGATTCTGGACTCTTGGCGAAGTGGGAGGCATTTTAGCAGAGGGAACCACTTTTTGTTTTCCTACTTTTGAAAATCCGAAAATTTTTACCTTTTTTGGTCATTTCCATACATTTTTGAACAAAAGGTCAACAATTTTCAAAAATTTTATTGTTTTTATTTAAAAAGTACGTAAAATGCTATAAAACGGTTTATATTAGCGAATTAGAGAACGCCGTAGAGAATAACAGGGAAAAATTTGGTTCCCCCCCGCTAACAGCCCAAAACCGGGGATTTCGCCAATTTCCCAGAAGCAAAAAACTAAACCCCTGCACGAACCTTCACGGCGCTCTTCCCCCCGGGACTCGCGAGCATGTGCTGGGCAATCATCGCCACAAGCTTGCCCATCGTCATCGGCTCGCCGTCGTCGTCCTTGTACAGCTCGAGGTCCTGAAAAAAATCAGAATCAGCAAGAAAATTAGAGTAACCTCATCGTATTTGTCCCGCTTGCCATTGTAGCGCGCTGGAGCCATTGCTGTAATAGAATAGAATCAACATTTCTACACTTAAAAAGACAATTTTTCAGATTAGGTAGGCATACAAAATCGATTATCGTGCGATCGGGTTCTTTCGCATTAACGGGCGCGGGGGCAATTTTTTCTTTTAGGCTCGAATTTCTCTAGTATAGATAGGAGAAGTATGCTTAAATGTCTTTAATATGCCCATACGTAAAAATTGGTAATTTTTGCTTAAAAATAAACAAAATAGCGATTTTCGAACAAAAAAGGCCGGTTTTCGACCAAAATTTCGCCTTTTGAAAGGTTTTAAGCAGCTTTTCTAGTATTCTAGCATTTAAGATATAGCCACCTTTTTATACATCCACTAAAACCCGTCCTAGACTTTTCTGGGCTTATAGAAAAAAGCCGACCCCGCCGATCATGCGATGGAACCCGCGACCTGTCTTGTGATTCGGAAAACATAAACACAACGATACCAATTAACGAAAGAACGAAGCTCGCTTGTCTTCTGCGGGTATTTGCTTAGACGTTTATTTAGCCGCCAATCTAGATAAAGCACAACCTTCAAAAGAACAAGTATTGAAATTTAGAGAGGAAAAAAGAAGAAACAGCAAGAAATGTAAGCACTGAACTGAGGAGCTAAAAAAGACAAGATCAGTCGACCCGAATTCACAAAACTTTGAGGGAGCAAAGAAAAGGGGACGAGAAAAAACGTTTACATCTTCTCGAAAGTCTCCGTGTAGCCGCACTCGGCGCATTCACGTTTCCATTCGCCAGCCGCAGCGTCCACCTAAAGAAAAGAAGTCTGATAGCGGCCTGGAATTCACCACCTCAATCTCGTCGCCGTAGGCGTGGATGTGCGCCTTTTTCGTGACGACGATATTCTTGCCAGCACCACGAATCTAAAGTGAAGAGCTTAGAAAATTGAGCAGATGGGAACAAGTTTCCTCCGTAAAATTTTTGTAATAGTTTTTTGTAAATAAAATTTTAATAATTTTCTCCCTGCCAAAAATCTAGTGCCAAAAAAACCGCTTAGAAACAAGTTTTCAATGGATATTTGCAAAACCGATTTTTAAAAAAGTCGATTCCGCGGGGAAACCCTAAAGAACTCAATCACGCAGCCCACAATTGAACTGCTAACCTGTTTTCGCATATCCTTGAGCTTCTTCTCAAAGTTGCGTTCATTCTTGACAGTGCGCTTGTCTCCTTGCAACTGATTAGCGTCTTCCAGCCCCTCGTAGCTGCCGTGCACCTCAAGCATCCGGTCGATCACCTAAAACAAATTTATTGCCAGGGCGCAGCGACCAGACCCTGACAGCCCAGGGTACAGCTTTTTGTACCTTCGCCATACCGCGGGTTGTGCGGATTTTTTTCGAGCAATGTACCCTAGGAAGCGGAAGTTGGCCCAATGTACATGGTGGAATATGCCTCACGGCCGGCTTGCGCAGATCCAAGTCCGGCAGCGAGCAGGTAGGTATTTTAGTGCATCTGTGCGAAGGATGAGCTTGTGGGCGTCCATGTACCGTCTCTGAAGAATGGTCTTCATAATCGCCAGAAAAGCGTACCTGCAGCCATCGCACACCGGATTTTAGATCTATCCGGGAGCAAAAACTCGATTATCGGCTTCTGGCACAGTTGGCAATCATCCAATGGGATTGACGGTGCTCGCGCGTCGATTCCTAAAAAATAAGGATTACCACGGGTTTGGGAGGCCACAATTTTGGTATGCGGTTTTAGGCCATTGTCAGGCCGGTTTTTGCAATTTCGAATGGCGCATAAACGTCAAGATACGCAAAAAAACGAGCGCAAACTCCACTGTTCGAGACAACTGTTTTCCGAATATTCGTTCTTCGAACACAGCGCAAAAAACCACGAAGGACCTAAACCAGATGCCAACCAAAGCGTTTAGTGCCAAAAATCAAATCGATGATGCCTAGCATGGTCCTGCCGAATCCAGCCATCGCCTCTGCGAACAAACAAACTTCTCTGTCGCTTCTGCGCGATCTCTTCAAATCGCTCGGCCACCTGATCATCATCGTCATAAAAGCCGCCGGACGCTTCAGATGAGCCGAGGTTTTCTGAAAAAACGAATGAACTACGCATCCCAATGCAAGCAAAAACATTGCCATCTGATAAAGGCGAGAGGAACGAGTGAATCTTGATTTCTGGCAATCCTGACAACAATTTCGATGAACAAACTTATATAGCTGCTCCTGAAGCGGCACTTCGGATTTCCTTTTCGACATTTGCCCGTCCGATTTGACGCCTCAAAAGCATTAAATAACTGGGGAGGCGGTTTCAGATCCCGCGTCTCCCAACAAACTACACACCGGTGCCGGTCTTTCAACAAGAAGCACAAAAAACGGCAGTTAGCAAAATAGCACACGTTTCGCACGGGAAGGCTTTCTTGGTAACCGAGTATTCGAGCTGTAAAAAAAAGTAATTACTCGGCTAATGATTTACCCATGGGAACCCAGAAAAACCCACGTTTACCCGTGGGTACCCGCGGAAACCCACGGATGGGCCCATGTTTTACCCATGAACCCGCAACCTGTGTTACCTGATGAACCACGATTTACCCGATGGTACCCATGGGTAAATCTCGGGGAGAACCCATGGGTCCCATGTTTTACCATGGGAACCCATGGCTGTTCCCATGGGTAATAACGTGCATAGTACTGTCACGATCACATCCTACTTTTCAGAAATTCTCTCCCAAGTTTTCATTTTTATTTGTTTTTTGCTAACTTTCTCACCGAATAAACTTTTATATCCATAAGAACTGATAAATACTTGGAGTAGGTAAGTTTGCTAAACGTACTATAGGTTTTTAAATGATGATTGACTTTGACACAACGATGTTTTTCTGATCGATCTAATTTTTTTAGACGTATTGTGAGTGCTTTTATTCATGTCTTTTCAGAAGAAATACGTACTTCACCATCAACTACGCGGGTTTTGTAAGTATACCCCTCTGTTTCCCCTCATACGTTCAAAGAATTTCAGGGTACACTTACTTGCTACGAAGAAATAGGTTGGATGGTGAGTAGGATTACAACTTTTCTTTCTTTCTTTAGGTACTGAACCTGCATTCGGGCTATGAGTAGCCGCGATGTGTTTTTATGAGGGGATTCGTCTACTATAAAGGCCGTGCAAGGACAAAAACGAAAAGTAAGGATGTTTTTGAGCTCCTTGAGCAGTAAACGGATACTTTCTAGGTTCTATGCCTAAATCACGGACTGCTCTACTCGCCCATCGACTGCTTCCAATCGATTAACCGTAGGTTCATCAAAAAAGCAGCAGCCCTGAAGCTATAGAAAACGACAAAGCCAAAAGATTGGCTATTTTAGTTATTGCCGATGCTCCGCCTCGATCTACATGAAAGTCACAACTCAGCGTCCGGACTGCCAAACAATTGCCTTTTGAAAGTACCACCTTATTGGTGAAAAGCAAAAGTAAAAGAAAAGTAAAGTTATATGTAAACTACAAGCACCTCCTGTCCCGTAATTTTACCCATGGGAACCCACGATCTACCCATGGGTGCCCAGAAAACCCGCGATTTACCCATGGGAACCCATGGGAACCACGTCTTACCCATGGGAACCCATGGGTACCCATGGTACCAACGAAACCCGTGATTTACCCATGGGAACCCATGGGTTCCCACGGGTAAATCGTGGGTTTACCCATGGGTAAATCGTGGGTTCCCATGGGTAAATCATTAGCCGAGTAGACGTGTAAGGCATGTGCAGATACATTAGAGGACAAATCCCGGCCCCGGTTGAACTTATGAGCAAGTCTTGCAAATCCTCCAGTGCGAACCGCGCGACATTTGATAATTGCTCAAAAAAAAAACTGTCGTACGCACTTTCAGCGCAATTCAGCCAGATTCAGATAAGCTCGAGCTGCGAAACGTTATCTGTCGTTCTTGCGCAATCTTTAGCCCGCCAGTTTGCGTTGCGTAACTCATTTCGGGGCGACCACAAGCGGCTTGCAGAACTGTTGAGCAACTCCAAGAAACTTAAATGCTATCACTTTTGTGCAAAATGGGCCGTGGTAAGATCGATACGGATTTTTTCGCATTATCGGAGGGGGGGGGGGGTGAGAGCCTAAAAAATGGCTAGTATCTTAATAGGCAGTATTTTGATAAAGTTTTAGTAAA